GCACAGGGTCCGCGTTAGCCACCCTGGGATTATTTTATCTTGAAGAGAGGCATTACTTATTTGTAAAGGTATTACAAATAAATTAATAAATTAATAAATCTATCTTTTTGATTGGTAAACTACAGATACCAAAATCAGCTGGCTATTTGGTTAGTGAAGCTTTAAAGATATTATGAATGCTAAGCACTTGCAGTGTTTCTGCCTGTGTGCTGCTCCCATGCCTACTGCATTATTGTGTGTGTGCCAGTCACAAAACCATTGTATTATGCATGTAGAGATCACACACCCATTATATTATGTGGCCTTGCTGATTTTTTTTTTAAAAAAGGTTGTCGCATTAGGTAAATGTATCAGAGTTGATTAGGTAGGAAGACTGTGACTCTATAAATAATTTAAATTCGCAAATAAAGAAGCAGAATGGGATGAGAGTTGAAAAATGAAGGGAAAAAATGGAAGAAATTATTAATTAGCTAGCTTTTTAAATATCATCAGCTACTAGTAAGTGATGGTGCCTCTTACAAAAGCATGGATTGTTTAGGTAAGGCAAGAAATACTTGAATAATTCTTTATTTTTCTTTTAGCTTAAATATGATTTTAGTCCCAAAGAGAGTATATCCACTGAAGTAATTGACCTATTCTAATTTAGTTGGAACTAACAATTGAATTGGACCATTGTATTGTTTATGGGCAAGGAGTGCTACAATTTTTTTTATTGTAGAAACCCTATCACAATGGCACTTGTTTATAAATGCCTATTCCACCTCATGCAGTTTGCAACAACAGCTCAAAATCTCAACATTATGATTGTAAGAATAACATTTTTCAACACACCTTGACAGTGGAATACCTTGAGATTCAGGACCAGGCTATGGAGGTACAATGCAAATTTCCTCTGGTGTATGTTATTCTGTTGGTTTTTTGCTATTTTTCCCTATGTTGGGTGCTTGGCAGTTCATGTGGCCCCGGAGAGTCCCAGGAGCAGAAAATTGGACCCAGACCCACCAAAGTCGCTCACCTGTGTGCTCCAAAAGCTACAAAGTTAGATGTGCAGAAATAGCCACAGAAAAGCACTTAATATGTGCTCATGATTGCTATGTATTATTCACATCTCAACATGTAGCACATGTATCGGAACTCTACCTTCCGAGGAATCCTGAACATCTTCTTTTCTTTTTGTATCGTAACTATCCTAGTTGTGAGAAATGTTGGGAAATGCTCACAGAATCTAATCTAAATACTTCTTTCAATATGTGTATACTGTAACTCTTAGGGTGTGCAATACAACCCCTAGGGACATGAGACATTCTGCCTAAACCTGTAACAGATCCAATGGCTGGCATCCTGTTTGGCAGCTACATTGGGATGAGTGTGACTGCAATTCGCTTTTACAGTTGTTGTGCCATTGCAGTGACCAAATATCCCTCCAAAACCTACTTTTTAAGGTGTGCAGTTCCCCCAACATGGACTTTTCTGAGTTGCCAGAGAGTGGGGGAGTGAGTGATGACATGTGCAGACATGTCCTGTAGCTGGGCACACTGCAACAGGAAACTGCAAAGTTTGCAAAGAGCTCTGATACAGAAAGAGGGCCAGATATAGCACTACTTAGCCATGTTGGAAGGAGGGGTCCACACAGCTTCAAAGTCAGGTTTGTGGGGAGGCAAATTCTTTTCTGGGCTCTCTGAGGGCCCTGCCCTCTGGAAGGCTGAGATACCAGTACTTTACAGTGCAGATCAGCTATAATATCTGTTGCTTAATTTAGGGAGAGGCCCAGTCAGGCTTCTTGTCTCTGCTAGGTCCCAATGCATCTCTTTAGGGACCTTATCCCACGCTGCTCTCAAAGTGGCAAGAAAGTGGCAAGAAAGCAACATAAGCATGATTCCACTATTATAGCGATAGCAACCCCCAGAGATGGAAATGGCCAGCCCACGGCGCTAGCGCTTTCATAGCGCTAAGAATCAGCTCGCGCAATTGCAATGCCTGGTGAGACCAGGCATTCAAAAGAACGTGAATGTTGCTGCATTCCGAGTGGATTCTTAGCGGATTCTTAGCGGCGTCGTGGGATCAGTCGAAAAAATTTAGCGCTATAGCGCCGGATTCTTAGCGGTTTCTTTGCGACGTCGTGGGATCAGCTGGAAAGATTTAGCGCTATAGCGCTGGATTCTTGGTGGATTCTTAGCGACGTCGTGGGATCAGTCAGAAACATTTAGCGCTATAGCGCCGGATTCTTGGTGGATTCTTGCTGCTTTTGGCCCCGTGGGATAACGTCCTCGGAATCTACTGTAAATGCCCTTGAAACTGCTAAAGGTGCTGTAACAATTCCAGGGCCCCCCTGATCCACTCAGTTCCTGGGACAATTAAGGCTCAAGACTCTGTCCAAATGAAACCAAGTCACAGGAGTATCAAGCCAATGGTTTATTGACTACATGGAAATATTAAGCAAGATGTAGCAGTAAAACCCAAGACAAAGGCAAAGTTAGCTCATGTCCCTTAGGTGATCCAAGCAGTGCGTTGTCACAGCGCCTCTCACCAGAGTTGCTGCAAAGAACTAGCGGACACCCCCAACACAACAGTTTCCTGAGTTGGAGTATAGCCAAATTCTCTCTCTCAGACACACACGAAGCCAAAGAATCTGATTTTTCCTGATCTTTAAATATCTTTTCTCCTTGTCCCGTAATGTACAATACTGAAACTTTCCCAGGCAAAGCAGATCACTTCGCCTTAACAAAGGAACAATTTCCCAGCCGTTCTAAGATGGAAACATTAACTGTCCCTACATTATAAGCTGACCTTGCACGCCGTGCTAGAGAAACAGAAGCTTGAAGGCTGCATTATTTGCTACAGTCTTCCTTATTTAACTAGTACATGCCCATGGTGGTAGACGTCAAAGACATAGCCAGGTTCATCTGAAAAATCAGTTTGCAAATGGATCCTGTAGCATCTTTGAGACTAGTGGAAAGAAAGAAGCTGGTAGCATGAGCTTTCACAGACTTGAGCCTACTTCCTCAGATGCATGCATCTGAGGAAGTAGGCTCAAGTCTGTGAAAGCTCATGCTACCAGCTTCTTTCTTTCCTTTAATCCCAAAGGTGCTACAGAATCTATTTGCATTCTAGTAACTCCCCAGTTATTGTGTTATGCATCCCTTAAGTATACAGAGCGTGTATAGGATGAATTTTTAGAGAGAATTATCAACTCTTTGCAAACTCTTCTGGAAATTCCAGACCCAAGAGGGCCTAAATACCCCAAAAGCACCAGATCCCATCTGATCTTGATAGCTAAGCAGGATTGGTTAGTAATTCTTGGATAGGAGACTACCAGGTGCTGTAGGATATGTTTCAGAGGAAGGGACTGACAAAACCGCCTCTGAGTATTCCTTGCCTAAGAAAACCCTACTAAATTAGTGGGGGGGGGGGCCTAAGTTGACAGGCGACTTGAAGGCACACATACACACAACACTAGACATGTTTATTATAACAAATCTTGGAGAAGGCTATGAAATGTAGCATATTTAGAACTGTATTTTGCACACAGTCTTGGGAAAGCACCCATGAATGATGCTTGTTACACTGGCCTAGGTGCAGGGAGTAGAGATGCATCTTCATTAGGTACATAGTGCCAGGACAGTAATGAGTCTTGTTATTTGCGTCTCTCTAATTTCACGATTTATGGCTTGGGATTTTTAAAACTCCCAGTCCTTTCTTACCTCACAAATCTGATGTACAGGAGGGGGGGGGGGGGGGGGAAAGATCATGGCAGAAAAACACATACACAGTCTTTTGCTCCACAGACAATAAATTGTTGAGATGAAAAGGTTTAGCAAATCAAATACAGGGCCTGAACAGACTGCCAGAAATAATGCAGCTTGAGACCACTTTAAGTGCCCTGGCTCAATGCTAGGGAATCATGGGAACTGTAGTTTTTTTTAGACATTGAGCCTTCTCTGTCAGAGAGCTCTGGTTCCACAATAAACTGCAGTTCCCATGATTCCCTAGCACTGAGCCAAGGCAGTTACCAGTAAAGTAGCCTCAAACTGGATTATTTCTGGCAGTCTGTTCAGGCCTACAGTGGGCCCTTGTTATTCACTGGGGTTTGGTTCCAGGACCTCCAATGGATAACAAAATCTGTGGATGCTCAAGTCCCATTAAATACAATGGC